TGCTCAATAAAATATATTAAGAACGAGAACGATTAAAATTATTAATTAATTTATTATATAATTTCCTTTTTTGCAACATCACTTCAATATAAGTAAAATATGTTTTCGATTGTTTTAGAATTTCCACAAAGTCCGAAAATGTCCGAAACTATTCTTTCGAATTTCGATCTTGATGCGTTAAGTATTGATGAATGATAAGTAATAAAGAGCTGAATCGTTTGATACATAGAAAAATCTCAAGTATTTGAAAATATAACGGTCTTAATTAAATTAAAGAATTCCAATTATAAGATTATAATTGCGTTATATCGAAGGAAAATTGTGGGTTAGCGTTCTTGGTGAATCAACCTATATAATACATGCGGGGAGATTCACTAGGCATGGTCACCCCCATATTTTAGTCCAATAATTTACATTTATTCAAACTCTGATTTTTAGAATTTTTAAATATTATGCGTATCGACCATATTTTCAAATTCTGGAGATTATTAATTGAACTACTCTTAAGGTGTGCCCTTAACCTGTGCTTCAAATGACAACCCTCCCTTTTTACTCTTAATATTATGTAGTGGATACATTTTTCTTTAAAACCTATTTTAACGTGAACAAAATCATTTTATTATGATTGTCAAAGTAAGAATTAAAAAAATTCATCAAAATCACAACTCATTCGTATAATAATAGATTTTGTAAGACACGGGAGGAATAATATTTGTATACCTACGTGTGTAGGTAGAATTTTATACATACTATAAAGAGTGGTGTAACAGAATTGATGGATGAAAAATTAAAATGAACACTATAGGTATAGAAATCTTGAAAAATATTTGGATAAATCATTAAAATTTTACTAATGTCTAAATATTTCCAGAAAGAGTTTTTTGAAAAAATTTGATAAATGTTGTTAAAAATCGAACTTTAAATTCTTGTAAAAAAAATTGAGCCTTTGTACTTTTAATATATTTCAACTGCTATCGAAGCAATAATACAAGGACCCTTCAATTAAATGTTGACTCTTGTTGGTCTTTATTGATATTTATAGAAAAAAATTGAAATTTGAAATTGCCTGTTAAACAAGTCAAAATATTTTTTTAATTTTATCAAGTATAGTAATTAATAAAATAAAAATATGATATAAATTTAAAGAGTCTACGGTTGTTCGTTTTTGAATTACAACAAAATAAAATAACCACTACATGGGAAATCAAGTGAATATCCAATGTTTTAAAAATTTGAACTTGGTAAAAATTTAATTTGAATTTCTTTTAGAAATTTTTTTTTTAGAAATTAAAATAACCTTATAAAAAATCTTGTGTAACATTTTAAAGTCTTAGATTCAAAAATAAAATTTTTTATGAATTTCCTACTAAAAATAATAATTTATTTTTGTGTTTTTGACATATTTTGTCCGAATTCGACCGTTAAATGCTTATAAAAAAAATTGTGATGATGGATTTTTAATATTTTCAAATGTCATTGTAACAATATATTAAGAGCCTTATATTAAATATTCAAGCTTTTTTACACTACAAATAAAATTGTATTGATATTCCTAGAAAAAAAAAATTAAAATATTTAAAATTGGTAGTCGTCGTAAGCAACTTAAAACCAGTCAAAATGTTTTGAATATGTTACGGTGTATAGCAAATGCTAATATAAGGGTTCAGTGAACATTTCATGTATCTACGGCCATTTGTTTTAGAGTTACACCAAAAACCAAAATCGATTTTGTTGTAAACCGAATTTGCTTAAAAATTCCCGTTTTTCCTTAATTTGTATTGATGTTGTTCTTGCACATAGGTGGACATCGGGGGGCTTAGCCCCCCTAAATATTTTAATAGCCCCCAAAAATCGAAACTTAATTTGAAATGTCATTCGTTGTTTTCATAATTAAGTTATCGTTTTGTTATGCATTATTATTAGTTTATCACATCTATCACATAAAACTAGTTTTGAAAATGTGTGAAGAAATAGCCTTTTCGAAATGACCGATTCAATTTACCATGCGGTCACGAGCATATTCGATAGACGACGTGTTATCACTTCTTATCGATATGTCGAGCGTCGGTTCACGAGATCACGACCGTTGTTGTTGTGACGTTATTTTAATATAGAAGATGTTATAAGAGTTTTGTCAGAAAACAAAACCATATTCCCTAATTTTCAAAAACTATTTACCATAGAATTAACAATACCTTTCGGAGTTCGGATACTTGCGAAAGAAGTTTCAGTGCAATGAGAAAAATAAAAACTTGGCTAAGGACATCCATGCTTCAGGATAGGTTTAGCGATCTTTCTATTCTATATACTGAAAAATATATGTCCAAAAATATAAATAGCAATGATATTTTGAATATATTAGCTGATAAAAATAGGTATTTGTTATTAAAATAAAATAAAATATTAACTATTAAGTGTTGTTTATTTTTATTACAACTTAAACATATTCATATTTGTATTAGTAATATATTACACTTGTGCATGGGAAGGGGGTGCGGGGGCGAAGCACTTTACATTGGATTATTATAGCCCCCCTAAAAATTCAACCAAATGCCCGAATATGTTTTTTCATGTGCTTTTGAAAACTATTGGGAATTTAAAATGTTGACCTCCTTAATTCACAAACTAGATTCACAACCTTCCCTATCGACCAAGATACAGTTGAAGAAAAACGAAGAAGTTTTTCTGCCCCAAACGGTAATAACAGAAAAAAAAATCACACTTGATCGTAAAATCAATACATTACATTCATTGGTCTGCTCAGAATCTAAAATTGTGCGTTAACACACGTTACCAGAGCACCACCTCATACGATATTCATATTTTTTTTTGTGTTAATATTTAGTATGCAATTATTATGAATAAGTAAGACAATTTTTCAAATTCGTACGCGTTTAGGTTTCGCCACACAAACAAAAAACTGGGGTGGTGCCGGAGAAACGTTTCCCTAGCACCCCCCACAAGATTTGGTGGCATCACGGTGTTTTTTTCTTTCCCATCATTTAGTACTCGAGACTTACAAATTTGTATGACCATTTCTGAAATTCGTACGATCTCCCTTACAAATAGTTTCCTAACATTAGGGCATTTCTCCAGCACCCCCCAAATAGAACCGAATGGCAATAATGTATGTGTTTTTTTTGTCCCATCATTTAGTACGTGAGACGTACGAATTTGTATGCTTGTTTTCAAAAACGACCACTTACCTACTTAAAGATATGATAAATAACAATTAATACATTTCTATCCATTTATAGATGTATAATTAGAAAGAATCATATGTGCAAATAGGAGGCTTTTAGGGTTAAGCTGGAAAAATGTCAACCCTCATACATTTTTGAGATCTATATTTTCAAATGTATAAAATAAAATGTCACCTTACAAAAAAAACCAATTAGAATAAGAAAAGAATAAAAAAATTTTATTTGGTTAAACAAAATCAAGTTGAGGACAAAAATCTATATTTTAATAATAATTTAAAATAAATAATTACATAAATATCACACAACATTTAAAAGTATAACTTTTTCGACTCGAAAAGGGTCATACCAATTCGTACGTCTCGAGTTCTAAATGATGGGGCCGAAAAAAACACCACGACACCATCAGTTGTGTATGGGGTGGGGGGGGGGGGGGGGTGCTGGGCAAATGCCAAAATGTTAGGAACAACATTTGTACTTGGATGGGAGGTCATACGAATTCCGGAAAGAGTCATACAAATTCGTAAGTCTCGAGTACCGAATCTTGTGGATGGTGTTTTAAAACGTTTCTCCAGCACCTGACATGGTACTCAGCGGCAACCAGTACAAGGTACAGGTACCGCAGCGGCCGGTCTACGCTTTTGTCAACCGCCACCACAGGCTACAGCGCGACATCGCCAACTCTCCCACCACGCCACAAAGGCACAAGGCGGGACGGGAAGGCAAGTCGCGCAATACGAGTACCGGCCGCTGGAAATTCGCTCTCTCGTTCGACAACCGTCCGACTTACACCACCGTGGTACCTACAACTCGACCGTCAACGTTTTCAACACAAACCGCGACCCTCGATACCGTCGATATCGTTTTGTTGTATACTTGTATTACCATGCTTTTTGCCGGTAAATAGTGGGTGTGAAAAATAAAAAAACCTATTCATCAAACCACAGACGCATTACTTTTGTTTCTTCTCCACTCCTCACCATCACATTGCGACCGGCTCACCGCGGACACTACTCCAACACCGCCGTAGCCGCGTCACACCGTCCCAGTTTTTTGTTTGTGTGGCGAAAACTAAAAGCATACGACTTTGAAAAGTTGTCTTACTAATTCATACTAATTGCATACTAAATATTAGCACAAAAAAAAATATGAAAATTTTATGGTTGGGTGGGGGTGCTGGGGTAACGTACTTATCATTTTTTATGATTGCTCGAAGTAATAATTGACAAAGTTCATCAAAATCACAACGCACTAATATAATAATACATTTTGTAGGACTCGTGAGAAATAATATATTATGTATTATATGTTATACAAATTGAAACAAAACGTCTTTGAAAATCAAAAATTCAAATCTATATTATAGTATGTTAAACGTATGACAACAGCCAACAGTTGTTGTGAATAATAAACATTATATGGATAGTAAATAATAAAAAGAATATTAAAAAAAAATATATTACCTATGTTAATTTATGATTTTTTAAAATATCAATATTTTTTTGGAGTAATAAATTAATTTGAAACGTAATTACATTTTTCAAAAATGTATTCTTCTTGGAAATTTTCACACATAAGTAAATCTCAAATTATTTAGTATCCATATTATAGATATACCTCCCTAGTGCTCTAGCCCCTCCTCCCTATGGTATTACCGGTATTTATTTTCACGTTTAAACATTAACTTCTGCTAAAGAATGATATGTTTTTTTAAATAATAGTTTTACAGAAATCAATTTGATTTATAACTGTTTAAAATCCAGCGTTTGAGACGCCCTGTAAAAATATATAATATTTTTTCTATAAGTAATGCACTGACGGAAAATGTTCTTTTTTCTCAGGACTCATTGTGTTGTGGCCGGTGGACGAGGTGTTTACAGCCGACACCACTGCCCCGCCGCCGACAGCAGACACCGTCCCCTCGGCCGTGGCCAGCGCATCCTCCGCCATCGCCACCGCCTCTTCTGCGATCGCCAATGCCTCGACAGCCATCGCCACTGACCAGTCGTCCGCCTCAGTGGATGCGATCGCTTGCGACGACGACACCACCGATCTGAGCGACACCGGCACCACTTCTGCAGAGACTTCCGCCGCCACTTCCACCATCGCAGTTGACGATTGTAGTACGGTCACGTCTGCTATGAGACTCGGACACATTGACACGACGGTGCAACAGGTAGACGACGACGACCGCGTCGGCACTGGTCGAGGTCTAGACATCGTGGGTTCTAGCCATCTGGCCGACAGATTCAACCGATTCGACTTCCGACCGAGGACCGTGGGTTTTAAGATGACGGAGAAAGTCATTTTGACAGCCTTGACCATGTTTTTCGAAAAACTCGAATTGGCCATGTACATGTCGCTGTACAAACTGAAACACATCTACACCATCATCACACTCCATCTCGGATCATCAACGATAATAATAATAATAATATGATATTTTACACGACAATAATACGGGATCGTATATTAATTATTACGATTAGGGCCCAGATTTGAGTGCCCTAAGAATGCTCTAAAAAACTGCCTTCTCAACGCAATAATGTCCTTGAAAAAACGTTAAAAATGTTTTTTCAATCCCAACTTTATAGGTACTCGAGTGATAGAAAAACTACGGATTGACTTTTGGCATTTTTAACTCAACTTTTTTGTATTAACTAGATACTAACAACGAAATACAAGACTTTCGCGCAATAGACAAAAGGCCGTAAACTGGAAATGAATAGCGATCGCGAACAACTATCCAATATCATTAGTTGTTATCTATAATACTATCTGATATTCTCTAGGTACATATCGCTTTCATATTTCGTATGTAGTTAGCGATTGACATTTTGGTTCGGATAAACTATACCTAAAAACCTATTAGAGCGAATAATTATGCGAAACCACTATTTCTTGATTTTGTTTTTCTTGATTTATTCAAAAATCTAGTGTGTACTAAACATTAATTAAATCACATGAAAATGCTATGTCATGCAAAATAAATGTTTCCCCTTTGAAGTGGATACCTACTATATCTGTTACATGTAAACTAATTGTATTATATTGCACTTGCCTAATGTTTTGTTCTAGAGGAGTGCGAAACGATTACACCCGTCTTACCCTTTTACATGCAAAAAAACCCAAAACTCTCTCCATGAAACGTTGTTATACGTGTTGTCCTCGAAGTTCAAGTTAAAAGTTCGGGTCCACCAAGTTCGACTGTATTAATACATTTATATAAACATTTGTCACGTTTGAATGAATAAAATGATTTGAATTGATTATTAAAATAATTTTTAACCATCCAAATATTTTGTTGTCAGTAAAATTGGGAAGGAGGACTATTAAAAGGACCACTTATATAATACATGTGTGATGGTTTTTGCATGTAAAAATGTAAGACGGCAATCGTGTTGCACCCGTCCTGGATCACCCCGAAAAAAAATGCTCTCTGCGTATTCAAATCAGGGCCCTCTAATCGTATAAAAATAATTTATTTTCGTCGCCACTGAAACCACTGGTAAAAATCGTGTGCATAATTATTCTCAAAAATCGTTCCGTATGACCTATCGGTCGCACGCGAAAACTACAGAAATATATTGTACATTATTATTTATTATTTTATCGTTTTAATATTATTGTTGTTATAATGTTAATGTTAATTGTTAATGTTATGATATTATTATGTACGTGCGCGACAAATATTTATTAAGTATTAAATTACTATTATAATTATTACTATTAACGTTCAATATGTACACATCAAAATAATAACATATTATACATAGTTCGTGTCAACCTGTTTTCGATTTTGTTTTTATACCACTTACACCTATATAGTGCCTGCATGTATATGACGTGTATTATCATCTATAAACTATTGTAGATGATAACGGAGTGCGCACTAGAGGAAAACAATTAATATTCTGTTTGATGTACACCAGACAGAAGCAGACATGACGTCAATAAAATGTAGTAAAGTATCTGCTACTGGCCAGAAAATATTGAATAGATCGAATGTTATATCGTACACACTATGCGGGCCGAGGGAAAAAAATTAGCAAAAAAATTGTTTTCACACTATAAAAGTTGTTTACAAATAGGTACCCAGCCATGTATGATGTGTCTGCACTGTGCACGGCAACCTACAAAATATCTCTCTCTCTCTACGTCGTATACCTATATATTGGCGAAACTGAACACAATTTTTTTCCCACAGTTCGTTGCTCTTTGTTGTTTCATTTCATTGTCCAATGAACACAACAAATATATTTCACAAAAAAATATTTCATACTTACAAGTGTTGTTGAAAAAGTATGTACACATACTATGTAACTATTATATATGTATGTATGTAATAATAATACGTAATAATAATAATTTATTGATTTCCAACAACATTATACTGTATTAATAATTCTTTACAAAGGTAAGTTAGTTGGCATAAAGTGATAAGTTATTTATGAATAGTATCGTTTACGATTCATTATATACAATTACAGTAATATATATTTTCTAAAAAAGTTTATAATATTCTTAGGACAGATCAGAAAGGATACTGTTGAAGAAAATCGAAGCATTTTTACCGTCCTTTAAAAAAAACACATATCCTTGTAAAATGGGATTTTATCGATTCCTCCGTTTTAATATAAATTTCGCCATCTATATCGATTCAGCTGGATATTTGTTTATGTTGATTCCGCCGACTGTTTATTAAACAATAACCTATGCAATATGCATAGTATAGTGTAGTACTGTATAGTATTATACAGAATTTATTATTTATATACTATAACAGTAAATTCACTAGCAAAACGTTTCAAAAAACAATTCAAACATTGTCGTCTACAACGGACAATATAACTAAGTCATACATTTATTATTGCAGGAAAAAAACAATAAAATACGATGTAAAATTTGTTAAAATTCAAAATAATATGACTAAAAAAAAAAATTAAACAACATTTTTCAGGTATCGTTAAATCCACGAAAAGAACAGGAAGCTCCTGGACACCTGGAGACAACCCAACAAATCGCCAAATGGAGATTTCTGACAACTTTGGGAAATCATGAACGAAGATTTTCCATTCTATTGCCCTACCCATTTTATCCCACAAATAAAAACCATTATCTTAGGTATTCAATACAAATGAAAACGTTATTCATTTAGGATTTTTGGATTTATGGATTTAAGCCTCTCCACAAAAAAAAAACTATTGGTCTAAATCTCGAATATATGATTTTGAGTGGTCGTCGATGATTGGTATAATAATACGATGTATGTACCTATAAAGAATATCAAAAAATGCTGTTACCTATATGGATATATAGTGTTATTATATATTTTTTATTCATTTTTTTGTACCTACACTTGATGTTATGAAACAATGCATTTATGCAAATATGTAACGATATTAAAATAATAAATATTTTAAGCAACACTTTCTAGGGTGTTGGAAAAAACTATAATATAGCATTGTAATAGTACAATATTTTTATTAAAAAACTAATCATATTTTAATGTTTCAAAACTTTTACACGAATCATTAATTTGTTATCATTGAAATATTATATTAATTATAATAAAATTGTATTCAAATCATGTAATCAAAAATATTGTATTTATATTATTTGATAGAAATGTTATAATATTATATTTGTATTTTGGGGAATATAATATATTATATTAACACGTCCGTGGTCAATGCTGCTATAGTAGTAATTTCAATTTTGATGTAACGGGTCACTACTGCTATAGCAGTAATTTACAAACCCACAAAATCGGGCATTACTGATTAAATGGAACTAAATATGTGACTGACCTATTATGATGTATCATAAGTTTGGGCACAGATAATTATAAAATTCTATTCTTTAAAAATTTGAGTGATTTTCTGAGGAGGGTAAATTAATAATATAAAATGTGAAGTAACCACGGACGTGTTGAATTAGGGCAACTGCTAATAAATAATGTTTAATTCAGAAAGGGGAGGATAGAATGGTGTTGGGATATTTTGTTCCTCTCGGTGGACTTTTTGTTCCTTTTTGTGAATAATTTAATCCTTTTATAAAATTTAATAGAGGACAAGAAATATCCTATATTATAGTGGAGGACGGGGGCATGCTCAGGAATATTCAATGGAGGATATGGGTTTAAAAAAAAACTAATATGAAAGTAATATACTCTGAAATTATTCAAAACACTAAATAAGTTTAAATTCGAATACTATACAATCATATGCTAACGCGTTTTAAGTCTTAAGTCTCACGTCTTTAGTCGCCACTCGTTATCAGTCGGACTTGTGTACATACATAGTGGTGAAGACATAAGTCCCATAAGGGAGTGTAAAATAAAGTTTTTACTTTTTTAAATTTTTAAATTTGATTATATACATTTTTTGGTTTGTATAAATAATAAAATATTTTCAGTAGAGGCCAGAGGCAGAAGTAGAGGTCAGAGGCATACTCAGGAATGTTCAATGGAAGAAAGGGGGTTGAAAAAAATATATTTCATGTTGTGCTCAATTGATTTATATATTTTATTGATAAATATATAGTAGTGCTAAGTACGCGCATAAGCGTATAACTATAGGGATACAGCCTGCCTGGCAATACTATCTATTTAAAATAACTCAATAGGCTCATAATATTATCTAAATAAATAGTCAATAAGGGACATTTTTTTTTCATTTGGGCTGTACTGAATCGTAGTAAGCGCCCCTTAGTTGCACCACTGACTAAGTATTTGGTAGTTTTGCATGAGAAGAGGAGTACTATTAACTATTAAGACAGACATAAACCTTATTTTAACAAAACATAAACGATTGCTATACATGGACGACACATTGTCTGGAGTTGTAAGCGAATAATAATTAAATAATCCAAAATAAATGTTCTTTTAATATATTAATGTTTGTGTTTAGGCTACTATATACTACTATTATGGTAAGCTAAAAATCTAAAAAAAATGTTGTTTATTGGCATACAAAATCGTTATAATGTAATATGTTAAAGAGCTGCTAATAAACAAACAACTGTACCTAAACATATGTTTTTTTTTTTAAATTTTACCAAAGGCAGCTAGTATGGATATGCCATATGCGGACGCAATAGCTGAAGATTTCAAATGCAATGCAGAAGTCCTTGGTCTTAAATTCAATACGTTTATTGTAAATATGTTTTTAAATTGTACATTAAATAAATACATAAAAAGAACAACAGTCAATAATACTAGAACTATAAATATTAAATACCTATATTACTGGTATCGGTGTGCATACGTATAGGTACAAACATAGGCGCAACTAGGAACATTTTTTATTGGTGCTGAAATTGTATCAGCAGCACAACACACAATAATTAATATTTTA